ACCAATCGATTGAGCCGTTGCCGAGTTCTTGTCCTCTTCGTTGTTCAGTATAACTCTTCCCTTGCTCTCTGTTTCAGTTTATTTGGTTGTTGATCTAGAGCTTTTAACCTAGGGTTTGTTAATCTAGGGTTGTTTTTAATCTTAGTTTGCTTGAGTTTATCATTGTCTGTTTAATTTTATCTATTTATCATGTCTCGATCTCATGCCAAACGTGCTAGATCCACTAGACCCACTCCCGCACCCACTCCTGCTACTGAATTTGCATATTATGAATGATACCTTCGTGATCCATCTTTAATTAGTAGATATCACACTTATTGCCAACTCAAAATGTTTCCCGGGAGGTTTGTCAAGTTTGACGATTTTAATCATTATCAGTTGCAAACAATTTTTAATGATGCTCAACTATATGATTTGCTCACTCTTACAAATTGTAGAGCATATTATTCAAATCCCATTCATCTGTTTTATGCCAATTTGCAACTTGATCAAGTTGATCCTAACACCCCTTTTATCACTTCTAATGTTAAGAATTATCCTATTATTTTTACTGTCCATCAATTAGCTAAGATTCTTAACATTCCTTTTGGGGATACTAGTTTGGATAGTGTTGATTATGATGAGGATGAAAACATATTATCATTAATCCTTCTTCCAAGAGACCATCTTCCTCTTGATAACAGCTCAGTTTCACCACTTGGTCGTATCGTTGATCGTATTATTTCCTACAACATAATTCCTAAAACTGGGGGTTATGATCATTTTTTTGAAGAGCCGATCAAAGTTGTTTATGCCCTTGTTGCTAACCTTAACGTCAAATGATGCAAGGTTATTTTGATATCATGGCCACCATTCACACCAAATTCCTTCCCTTCGGAGCCTTTCTAACCAAAATTTTCACTCATTTTGAAGTCGACTTGTCTGATGAAACTCCTATAGACATTCCCAACTTCTTTAACTCTGTTGTGCTCTCTAGTATGAACCTCCCTATCACTCAATATCATGTGGATCATCCAGATGCTATTCCCAGAGGTTCATCATCTCAGCCTTCTATCTCTAGGGCTCATACCCGTCCTCCTCGTGCGTCATCTTCCACCCCTTCAAGTATTCCAGACTATCTTATTAACCATATGGATAGTTTAGAGGAGAGAGTATTTGATCGTTTGAGTGATTTTGAGCAAAGGCAAGAAGAAATTCATGCTGAAGCTAAGTGTTGGCATGGTGAGTTCTTGGGTAGGCAGAATGAGGGGTTTGCTAGGATTGAGAGCATTCAAGATGAGCTCATGGGTAGGCAAGATGAGATTTTGAGGGTCCAGTGTCAGCTTTTGGATTTATATATGCACCCTCCTCTTCCTCCGGGTCCCGGGCCTTCTGATATTTGAAGACATATTTTTCTTTCTATTTTAGACTTGTATTTTTTGCTTTTGAACTATGTGTCTTTATTCGTGGTTTAAACTTTGTATTTTGGCTCGTTTGGTTAGAACAATGTGTTTGGATCATCCTCATTGAGTTTTATGTTGTGTTTGTGAGATTGGTGATTTGTTTTGGTCACATGATTATCATGCAATATTCTTTTTGTGATAAAAATATGTGCATAATAGAGGGAGAAACAAGTGTTTTAAGATTGCTTGGTTTCTTTTAGAGGTAATGCCTTAATCATCATTGCATATATTTTATATGTCATTTTGATAGGGGGAGCAATCCCTATTATGATTATACTCACCCATGCTTATAGGTAGGGGAGCATTCGCTCTCTTTCTATTTTGCTGTTTTTCTCCATTTTGATGTTGACAAAGAGGGAGAAACCATATGATTTTGTGAGTATATTGTTGTTTTATATATATTAAGAAAATTGTTTGTCATCATCAAAAAGTGGGAGATTGTTAGGACTCATATTTATGAGCCTGCTATCTAATCTAGTTTTAATGATTAACAAACAATTTATAATCGTGTTTTCTAGTATTTTTATTTCTCAGATATGTATCTAGGTTGATTTGTGTCATATCGACGATATCAGAAAGGAAGCCAACACAATTCATGTTAAAGATTCAAGAGCAAGCCTCATACACTATCACTTGGGTATATTAGTTTAGGAGTTATATTTTATGTGATAATATTTTAAGCTTAATTTTATACACACGTATTTCTCATTTTTATCAAAATATATGTATTTTTGAGAAAATAATGTATTCTTGGTTTATGGACTTAATAATCCTAGTTCACATCTTTTCCTAAGTCTATAAATCCATTCAAAAGTTTTCAAAACTTAGTTTAAGTCAAAATGATGAGTTTTGTCAAAATCAAGCGTTTAAACGAAAACATATTTTTGAAATTTTGCAAAATGATGAGTTTTCACAAATAAAAATGATATTTAAAAATTTTCTTTTACAACATGTTTATTTTCATGTTTATAAACATTTTTTCAAATTTCATAATTTTTAGAATTTATTTGCTATTTTTAAACCCACTTCAAAGTTCAAATTCACTGTTTTAAATTAACATTGAACATGTTATCAGTCGACTGACAAGGCCATCAGTCAACTGATGAAAGTATCTGGAATCATCAAATGTTTCTGCTCAGTCGACTGATGCACCATCAGTCGATCGAAGTAGCTCATCAGTCGACTGATGGTGCATCGGTCGACTGACGGGGTTTAAACAGCCACCAACGGTTAGCTCATCAGTCGACAGAACAATACCATCAGTCGACTGACGACACTGTAACTGCTATATTTCCAGATTACTGATTTTTAAGGATTTTGTCATTTTCTTTTGATTTTTCTTGGTTTTAGAGCTTTGTTTTGTGATCCTATAAATACCCCATCAGTCTCAACATTTAGGGTTAACTAAGAGAAGTTAAAAAACAAGTTTTGCAAGTTTTGTTTAAGGGTTTCAAAGAAAAATCAAGTGTAGTTTGTTTGTGTGAAGAAAAAACAAGTTTTGCAAGTTTTGTTTAAGGGTTTCAAAGAAAAATCAAGTGTAGTTTGTTTGTGTGAAGAGATTTTCACAAGAGAAGAAGGGTTTCAAAGAAAAATCAAGTGTAGTTTGTTTGTGTGAAGAGATTTTCACAAGAGAAGAATTGCAACAAAGTTCTTGAGGATTTCAACCTCAAATTTCTACCTCACTTGTTTTGGAGAAGTTTTCTAAACTCATTTATCTAGCTTGTTCTTATTTTGATTCTCATATATATTTTTGCTAGATTTAATTGAGTTTTAATTTCGTTTTTACTCATTGCTTTTCACACACAACCATTTGAGCTTAAGTATTTTCACATATAGTATATTTGGGTTGTGGGTGTGATTCATTGAGTGTGAGCTTACAATTTCATTCTCATCTTTGTTGGAGAACAAATTATTTATTTGAGCTTATTATTGTTGAGAGAACACGTTGTAATACACAAGGACACTTAGAGAAGTGGTTGGTGAGAGACGGAGTTGATTCCAAGAGGAGTGACGTTAGTAGTAAATCCTAGGGAGAAGTCGTAATTCCGAGCACTTGAGGAAGGTGACACGAGCTAGGCCAACACTTAGAGTAGTGTGTTGTGTAATTGCAATTGTGAGAGTTGTAAAAGTTTTCGGTGAACTTGAAAAACCGATTGTGTAGTTGTTTATTGAGATAGTGGATATTCTCCTCGAGGGTGAGGAGCGGAGACGTAGGTCGTGGGTCGACCGAACTCCGTGATTAATTTCTTTGTGTTTGTGTTTGTCTATTTGCACACTATCTCTCTTATTCTTGTGTTCATGTTTATTTCGTCCATTGTTTAATTGTATATCCTTGCGTATATCATTTGAATATCACATCATTAGGATATGTTGTTAGTAAGTTATTAATTTGGCATTAATATCGGATTAGATTAGCAAATACTCTATTCATCCCCCCCTCTAGGGTACTTTCAGATTATACTCTCTTTTTCTCTTCAGATTAATTAGATTAGTTACTGGCTTGAGCATCGAAGAGTACATAGGAGGAAATAACCTCCGAGGACTCTGACCTATGCTACATGTGTAGAGAATTACAACTCAAGATTTCCAATAAGAATGGTCATCCATCAAATGAGGTTAAGGGACACCAAGATCATGTTGTGCGCGACGGAAGTTCTCAAAGCGACACGAACAATAACTCGAGATAAACCACAACCAATAAGCAAAACACAATCACAGCAAGAACAAACGATTTACGTGGTTCGGCAAGTTGCCTATGTCCACGGGGCAAGGAGGGGGGAGGGGGTTCTTACTATTAGAAATCAAGAGAATACAAATAGAGTTACAAATCTCACCGATCAAACCCTAAAATAAAGCTCTAGATCTCTCACAAATCTCCCACAATTGGATGCAGCAATCCTCTCCAAAAGACTGTTCAAAATCGTCTTTGCTTAACCCTAACTAATTACAATTAGAGTTATATATCAACTCAGAAACAAACCGGGTCAAAAATCAAAGCCCAGCCCAAAAATAGTCTGCGGTCGACCACACAGGTATCGCAGTCGACCGCTGTGGTCGACCGAACCAAAAACCCGAGACCAGAATCGATTACAGTCATGACGCGGTTGACTGAATCTCATCCCGAGACCAAAAATCATCTACAGGGTACATGCGGTCGACCGCCACGGTCGATCGCCTTCAGCTCCGAATCCTACTGCCCTTCTGTGCACGTTCGCGGTCAACCGCCGCTGACTCGCGGTCGACTACCAGTCAGCCTGTCCGATTCTCCTGAACTTCCTGCTGCTTCTCTCGCCACTTCTTCAGATCATCCTTATCTCTCCTAAATCACACATCTAACTTTCTTCCATTAACAGGGAAAAATTGTTGTATTTCTAGTGAGAAGCTTTAAATAGGGTTTATAGGGAGAAGATAAAAGGGGTTTTCACTAATGACTAATCTCTTCGATTTTTCTCCCTCCTTGTAAGCGCTATTGTGCAAATATCCCAAAGTGAACGCACCCATTCATAATTTGCGGTAAGGCCGGGTCGGGTCAAAACAACAGCGCCCGGTATTTCACAATATATAAGTTCCAAACTAGGGTTTTTATTGTCGAGCTTCTTGTCTTCAGTTCACTGCGCCGTTCTCTCGTCCCCCGAGCTCCAAAAACCCTAAGCATGGCGGAACAGGTGAATTGATCTCAGAATCTCTAAACCCTAATATCGTTATTTCATTTACGATCTTCTCTAGTTGTCGCGATTCAATCCATTGTTTTCAAATTGCAGACCGAGAAGGCGTTCTTGAAGCAGCCAAAGGTGTTCCTTTGGTAACCACTCATCAAATTTTTTTTCTTTCTTTAAAGATCTCCTTTGTTTGTTTTAGTTTTGATTTTTTTTATTTTTATAATGTTTTTCGATTTTTAGTTCGAAGAAATCTGGGAAGGGGAAGAGGCCTGGAAAGTGTGGGAACCAATTTTGGAAGAGCATTGGGCTTGGATTTAAGGTCCCGAGAGAAGCAATCGAAGGTTTGAGAGCAAATATTATACGTTATTAGTTTTATATCTGAGATATAGTGTTGTGATTTACCTAGTTCCTTTGCAAAAAATAAAAAAAAAACTCATTTTGCAGAGTATACTATCTAGCAGAGTAGTACTGTTTGAATAATCTTGGTGCTTGATGGAAATTATGCAAGTCTTTTACCGTCTTTTAGTGGTTCTAGCATAACTCGTCCCTAAAAGCTATGTGCCAAATCTCTTGTAAACGCGCAATTGATTTGTCCAAGGTCAAACGCTAGACTCATTAGTCCCGGACTTCACGCTAGACTAGTTCGAAGCGAACATTGCTATGCCAACATCACCCCCTTTTCTGCTGGCTTGCAACTGGGTAGGTGGGCTTAAGCTTCAACACCATTATTTTAAGACCTAGGGAGACTCACCCCTGAAAGGGAGGGGAATGGAATCATGTATGTAACTGACAAGTGAGTCCCCATTTAGTCAAAATGTGGAATGAAATGAATGCTAACGCTGCCTTTTATTTCCCTTGAGATCTATTTTGTAGTCTACTTGTTTTAGACCCTAGTGTTTTTTATGAAATTGATTACTATTATGTTACCAAAATTCCTTTGTTACTTGCACTTTTTCGCTTGTTGCTTATTTTTCTGTGCTGCTTTTACTCCGATGTAATTTTTTTCGTCAAATATAATAATGGTTCACATTCTAACTGCTTATGTTTCAATTACTGTTGATTACATCAGTCACTTGTTTCATATCTCATGGAGATTTTGAGATGCTAATGGCAGATGTGATTTATATTTGATCAAAATCAATTTAATTGGAAAACTTTCTTCCGTGCAATCTAGTTCATTCTGGAACCTGTTTAAGAAATAGATAGCACAGTGCTATCATTGTCCATTACTTTTAATGAATAAACAATGTAGTTTAAAGACTCATCCCTTATACGGAAGATTTGTGACATCTGTATAATGACTGTTTGGCATAAATGCAATATTCAATTGTGCTGTTAGATTGTGTAGTTTGTATATGCATCCGGGAATGCAAGACCATCTTTAATCCCTTTAGAATGCAAAGCTGGGCTTACAATTTTTTTTTTGCTAAAGATTTGAAAATACATAAATCTTCCTCCATCACTTCAATTTCTTTTTTATTTCTGGTTGCATGGATCCTTGTTAATTTTTTAATCATAGATAATTGTCATATGTTTGATGAATGTTCTTAATCTAGCAGGGTATTTATTTTTCACATTCCACTGCACTACTACTAGTCTACTATGGTATATAAAATTTGCTTTAACTTTTTATTGTCCTAAAGTATGTTATTGTTATCTTCTTTTAGGGACATACATTGATAAGAAGTGCCCATTTACTGGTGATGTTTCTATTAGGGGTCGTATCCTGGCAGGAACATGTCACAGTGCAAAGATGAACAGGACTATCATTGTCCGTAGAAACTATCTTCACTTTGTGAAGAAGTATCAGAGGCAAGTTTCAGAATGAAGTTTGTGAATGCTTTCCTGTCACTTTTATCACTTGAAAAAAATAAGTCATTTCCTTCTCAGGTATGAAAAGAGGCATTCAAATATTCCTGCCCATATTTCGCCTTGCTTCCGTGCCAAGGAAGGAGATCATGTGATCATTGGACAGTGCAGGTAAAGTTGGATTTACTGCCTCTAGTTGAACACTAAATATTTGGCCGTGAGCAGAGTATTGATCTATACATCATATACATGATTTAAATTGCTTATTTATTTTGTTTAATGTAATTTAGTCATTGTACAGTAGACCAACTTTATGGATTCCAAGGCTTACCAAACTGTAGGCTGGTAGACATAAAACAATGGTTCTAGAATCTTGACTTTAGATTCGAGGAGGATAAGCTTTGTTTTCTAATCTATTGCCAGCTCTTGATTTGATGTGGATGCTTTGGTTGTAAACTACGTTTGTACATGCATGTCCAATGTCTCTGTTTAAGAGTGTGTCCTTTCGTAGTTATCCCCCGAGTCTGGTTCTATTATGAGTCGGGACCTTTATCCGAATTAGGACCCAAATAGTTATTCTGCCCATTTGAACATAAATAACTAGTAGTAGATTCAATTTCAATGAGTTACTTATAAATTCCTTCCATATCAAAGCTTAACTGTATCTAATCCGATTATAAACCTTGTGATTGTTAGCACATTAAAGATGGTTTTAGAGAAGAATCTGGAACTAAGTTATGAATTCAAACCTGGAGCTAAAGGGGCACAACCTGGAACTGAATGGGCGCAGAGTTTGAAACTTGACAGTTTTAAAATTTGACCCTGTGGAATTTGTAGATCTAGGGATAAGAAAGCCATTCTTTGCTGCTAGTACTGATTTGGTTACTATTGATTACGTGCAATTTTTTGGTTTATTTTTCACTACACAATTTTCGTTGTGATGTACGTTCAGACGCGACACTCAGATCTTCGTGTCCTATACATCAGATACTTTCTTATCTACTTGAAAAGAAAACAATATACAGTTTAGACTTTTACTTTAAACAAAAGGCTTCGGAAGGAAAACAAGATTCTGCAAGTGTTGATAAGTAAAAATTGTTACGTTACTCCATAGTCTTTAAACTTATCAACTATTTATGTGATAAGTAAGCAAATAGTTCTACAGAATGCAGCTTCTAAGATGGTGTCAACACGCATGGTTATTTGCATATGTACATCTGCGTCCTCTTGTCTAGGAGTCTCTGTATCCGATACAGGGACACCCTGGCACTTGATATCCATTTCTGCAGTACATGCTATTCTGGTTCGCACTCCTGTCATGAAAAATTTTAAGATGTACCGATGAACTTGTACAGATTGTTTTAATACCCGCTTTGATAGTTTGCATGTTTCGTGGCACTATTTTTGCTGACTAACTACATTTGAAAAGAAATGCATTGAACAAATTCATGGCATTTGATTAAATAATAACAATTGTTCCAACTAATTTGAGAGGCCAAAATTTCCCAGTAATAGTTTGGTTTTCTCTTTAAGTTTCTTGTATGTTGTATATTGTGCCACCTATATATCAAATGACTCTATGATACAGTATATAGTGTTGTATTTGGTAAAAGTGCAACTCATCATGCATGTATGACCTTTACTCAGGCCTCTGTCCAAGACTGTGAGGTTCAATGTCTTGAGGGTCATTCCGGCTGGATCAACAGGTGGAGGAAAGAAGGCTTTCACTGCGATCTGAGGCATCCATCTTAGGACAGGGGTCTATTTTGAGCATTTTATTCTTGAATTCTGTAGTTTGTGCTGCCAGTGGTTTTTATTATGAGACCATACCTTATAATCTTATTTTAGTTTGGCTTTGGTATCTGGTATTGGACGGTTTTCTGTTAACATCATCTCTCAGTCTGAGCACTATTTTTTTTAACTACATCGTGGTACCATCTACAAGGAATTACACTGCTTTTATGGTTATATTCGTTAAGTTTTCTATACACCAAGTTGTCGTCTGTTTCCTCCTCTTTCAAGTTCTATTGATTTCTTAGCTTTACTCACGATGGTCTGTTTCCGGCTTCAATTATATATACGGTACTTGCGGATTATAGCTAGTATTATGTTATTGAAATGTAAATTCAGTAGTATATTAAGAATTAGATTGCTGTATTTTCTGTCTTTAATTGTTTAGAACAATGGTCTTTCTTTTGTTCTCAACGTTGTATGCGGCTTGTACGTTGAAAAGCCAATACGAGTTCTTATAAGAAACTTTTTCCTGGGGGGGAAAAGAGGTCTTGGTACGGAGCTCTTTGGAGTGTATATGGGTTTAAGATATTTGATGCCATGAGGTTTCAGTTTCAATAAATAAATAAAAAGTTTTAATCCTCCACCAAATTCGTCATCCTTCTCTTTCAGATTGATCGTGTTGACCAATGTTTGATGCGCAAGTGCGCGTGAATAGAAGGTAAGGTTTTTTTTTTCCTCCAAATTTTATATTTTATCGGTAGTAAGCGATTCTTATTTATGGGTAAGTAAAATGAAAGCTCAAAACTGTTTATGTAGAAAGCTGTAGCCTGGAAAACATTACCCAAGCTCCTTCGCTCAACACCAACTGAAAGAAGATTAAAAAAAGGCTATCAGAGAACAAAAAAGTACGCACATAAGTAGATCAGTATCTGATCCAACATCCTGCATAAAGTCTGGGTTGATCTTCGATGCACAGCACCAGCCCCTGTATAGCTTAGAATCCTTCAGCGTTACCACTCTCCTGCCCCTCGCTTTCTAAGTTAAAAGCGACTCAACTCTTATTTCAGAATCTGGGGGTGCTACTCGTTACTCCAGCGGTTTAGAGCATCTCCAACAGCTTTTCCATTTTCCACTTTTAGAGAATATAGTTAGGTTTTTGGTCCAACAGATTCCCCATCCCATTCCCCAAAATAGGGCTGGAGGAGAAAAAATAGGGAAGCTTTCCCAAATCTGCAGCATTCTTCAAATTTTTAGAGAAAAAAAAAGAATTCTTCAAAATGAGGAAATTGTTGGAGTTGGTGTAAAAATAATTTGGAGAATATGACTTTTGGTTCCTCATTTTGGAGAAAATTTTAGAGAAGCTCTTGGAGATGTCCTTACATTGGAGGAAGAATCAATCAACAGAGGTGGGGGCCTACTAAAGCCGGGCCATTCAACCACGTGATGAAGAAAGCGAGCGATTGAAAGTCAGACGAGTCGAGAGCTCAAACCCCGACGTTACAAAAGATTTAAGTGGAAGATCTCACCAACCTACAAAAGGAGACCAATTCAAACGGAGCATGGTTGTGCATGCGCTTGACTTTTCAACAGCCATCATGAACCCCAAAATGGAGTCCACATCGATCAACCCCCCTCCTCCGGATCCACCCTTGACCCGTCCCTCTCACCTACAATATATACAAACCCCTTCCTCCACTAAACCCTTTCAAGCACGTTTCGATGGTACCGGTCCCTAAAGTCAAAAGTTCCACACCAAACTTTTGATTAGCTGAGCTTTATAGCACGCAAGACTTGTACACATCTTTTTTTTTTTAAAAGTTAATACATGCAAAATAACTATATTCTTGAGTAAATTTCACAAAATTAACCTCGAAACTTTGGAGCTAAACTTTTCCCGACCCCATAAACTCTCAACTTTGAGGAATTCAAATTTACCAGTTACGGAAAATATATATTATCCCCGCACGCAATTGAGGGTTTCTTAATTACCCCCAACATCTTGGTTGAAGTGCAAATTTAGACACGTTGAACCGCAAGAGAGGGGAATGTTTAAGCTTCTTTTTATCATCCGTCCTTAATTAACCAATCAGGACTTGACAACCTTATTACTACGTCAGAACAGAATCCAGAAAGAACTCAAATTTTGTGTGTAAAATTAGAAAAGACGCGTCACTCCATTTGCAAAAAATTAAGAGGTTGACGTTTCAATTCGTAGCGATAAGTTCAAAGGCGTATGTATGCATATGCTTAATCTACACATTTGCAAGAAAGGACCTCGGCAGGACCATTCTTGCAAGCAAGCCCCATGAGTTATTCTCCCACCACACAAAATCTCGGTGCCAAAAAAAAACAATAATTTACAGGACTAGCTACCCCCCCCCCCCACCCCACATGGAAACCCACCTTACAAGAAATACCCCCCCCCCCACTCCGCCGCCCTCTATCCGCCTCGCCATCATCCCATAAAGAAAAAAACCCGCAGGCTGGTAGCAGAACGCCGCACGAGTGACATTAATTTACCCCCGCCTAACCTGCACCTCCGGTAACGTTACCGCCCCTCATACTGTTGCCCGAACGACGACACAAAAAGGCCGCTGGCGGCGGCTGCTGCCTGCTGCTGCTGAGATCGGTCACCGCCGAAACCCGAAACTTATAAACCGGTCGGGCCGGGTGTTAGAATGGGCGGTGGGTGCACCCGCTGAACTGCCTGGACCATGCCCGGAGTTGGTGGGTCCGGTGCTTGAGGAGAGTGGTTGGGGCCGCGAGAGTCCCGGTCGTGCGTTCTGCGGCGCGAGGACTTTGCCGACCCGGCCCGTACTCGCATGGAGCTGGATGGGCTGCGGGTTCGGCTTGGGCCGCGGCCCTTGGAGATCGGTGGAGTCGGAGTCGTGACAGGGGCAGTAGTGGGCCCAGTCGTTTGGGGAGGTCATGGTGTTGAGGCTTTTTTGGGTTGAGGAGGAGGAGGAGTGATGTCGGGGGGGTGAAGGGTATTTATAGGGAATTGGGGGTCGAGGACTGGTCAGTCAAAAGGCGACACGTATGTAGAAGAGAGCGAAACAAAATCCTAATCAAAATCTTATGGCTAAATTGCCCTTAAATACCTTATAACTTTTCCCACACTTGTTGCACTTCAAATACCAACGATTGTATTTTGTTGCGCTCAAATGGTTTTCAGAAGTTGCAAGCTTGCACCTTCTGTTAGATTCTCATTTGAGAGCAAGGTGACTGGTTTAGGTCATTTTTACCCCTTTAGTTATTCTTAAATTACTACCATCTCATTTTCTTCATTCCTCCTCATTTTTATAAGAAAATCAGTTGAGTTTGTGAAGCTGGCCACCAAAAGTTCATGTTCTTCAAGTTTATCAAGTTTTGGGTTGAAGAGAAAAAGATTAAAGTTTGTTATTGTAAGATAATTTCTTATGATGAGCACAAACAATTATCCCAAAAGTTACGATAAGGAGCATAGACATCTATCCACAAACATTGAACCCAAATCAACAAATAGTTATATATAAAAAAAACCCTAACTAAAACGCCCTTTTAAAATTCCAGAGGCATTAAATCTCTCAATTGAACAAAAACACATCAAATTCAAAATTCTACTTTAATTTCCTATGTTGAGGAAATATTACATAATAAAAGATCTAAAACCAAACTTAGTTTTGCAAATTTAGCACAAATCAATCTTCAAAAATTTAGTTTTAAGCTTGATTTAAGGCAAAATCCAACTTTGGATTCTACATAGGGTTGGTCATGGGCCGCTTACCGTGGGTCGAACCGGCCTAGCTCGGTTTGAGTCTAAATCCGGCCCGGCCCGTATTGGTGGCGATTTATGGGTCGATCTGCGTTTTGATACAGATCGGGACCAAAAATCAAGGCCGACCCACCAATGGCCCTGCCTGGCCCGATGTTAATTATAAATATTTACTTTATTTAGCAAAAAATAAATGGGCCTCTGGAAGTCAATTATTCTTTCAAAGTTAGTCATGAGGTGCATGATGAGAGAATCAAATGATTTCTCATCCTCCAGACCCACGATGATCGCCGCCATGGTGACCATGTTGTCGGATCTTCCATTTCCGAGCACTTGGCTTGGAATCATTTGAAGTACTCTCTTAAGGTTTCTCCCGTCTTCTACTTGATCTGCAGTAGGAAAGGGGATGATGCTTTCTGTTTCTCCGATCTTCTGCTTGATCTACAGTAGGAGAGTGAAGGGTGACTTTTGTTTTGTGTTCGCCAAAAAGTGGTGCATAATTTTTTGGATAAGTTGTTCAAAGTTATGGATGGATCTATTCTCCAAAGAATTTTACATCTTCGTACTGTCATTGAGGGTGACAGAAAAGACTTTGCAAATGATCAATGCGGTCACATACTACATGCTCATCATCTCAAAGAAATTATGTGCATGTTCCACTATGTCACCTTCTTCCTTGTGTTTCTTAATGTGGAGCATCTTAAACTTAGGGCATGAGGTGTTCATGATGTCCTCTGATTGAGGAGTACTTCCCCCTATGACGTCAGCCATCATGTTGTACTTCCGATCTTCGCCAGAAGCTAGATGGGCCATAGGGGGATCAACGTAGGTTGTTTGGGTTTGAGTCATTTAGGTGTGTCTTAAACCTCGCGACGTCGACCGTACAACCAAAGTTGGGCCGTGGGTTGTGATATCTCTTGTCACCTCTAGACGAGGTGGAGGTTTTTGGAGATCGTCGACAAAGCGAGTTTGTAGCCGCGACGGTTGGGGGTGGTTTCCTTGACATACTCCTCTTGCTCCTGTCACTGGTGCTGCCCTTCATAGAGAGGGTAGTAGGCGATGGAGGAGATGAGAGGGAAGAATATGTCTGAAAAGTTTGTTAGTGAATGAAGCAAACTAATATTAGAGAAATTGAGCCATCTTTTGGGTAGATTCATTCAACTGTGCCTGAGTGACATAGCCGGATCTGAAAGATCCTCCAAGGGAGAAAAAGAGGCCCCATAGGGTGGGCATTAAACTATTCATGTCAGAAAGTTTATTGTATGGGTTAATGGATATTTAGAGGAGTTTATTGTCCATTGATCTTCCTTGATAGCTGATCAATCAGGACAAAGGTAGATTCTTACATAGGAAATATCCGTTAGAGGGTCGAAGTTTGCTGCTCCAGTCTGCCCTTCGATGTTCAAGTCAGTAATAGATTAAAAACATTTGTAAAATCTAGTTTAGGGAGTTATTTAGCAGTTTTTTGCGTACCTTTGAA